GGGAGGGAGTGACGTTTATAACAGTCAATATCACTTTTGAAAAAATTGACTATCACTTTTATACAAGTGACGCCACTCTTATCAAAGTGTCTATCGCTGTTGTAAGAGTGCTCCTCACTTTAATAAGAGTGCTCCTCACCGTTGTAAGAGTGACAGTTCACTATTATCACAGTGAAGTTCACTGGTATATCAGTGAATCATTTTACACGATAATGTGGGAATGTGCTGTTGCTTATGTTTACTACTGTACGCTGTGTGAATTCTCTCTACACTGTAGACTGCCACCACTATTTTATGATTTGGCAGGAGGAATAAATACACGCAAGAATGCGTCGGGAAGCCACACACCTACCTACCTCTCCTTGACACACAGCAACCCCTTTATTCTGAAACGGAGGGATTACGTTCAGCAGCAGCCATAGTATACTCTGTACTACAGTATACTGCTGGTGCTGCGCTGCTGGTGCTGCTGATGGTGATGCTGCTGGTGCGGGTGCTGCTGTGCTGCTGCTAGATGATGTTCAGCTTATTGTTTTGTAGCAACCACCTTCCAGCACAGCAATAGCCTAGCAGCGTGAACTACAACCTACAGAGTTTTAGATATACATGTACGGGGCACAACGTAATTCAGGACAGGCAGGCAGAGGTAGGTACAGAGTACGCTACTTTTCGTATGATATGCATGTGCGACGGCTGCCCTCCCATACACGGGGGTCCAACAAAAAATATATATATATTTCGCGCGAAGCGCGAAAAGAAGGGGCGGAGAGAGACATCGAAGCAAGCGTAGATAGATATGGATGGAGCCTACGCCACAACGTAGGTCACCAGTGCGCACGCTCACACCTCACCCCATACCATCAGTCAGTCAGGGAATGAATGGGAGAGCTTTTTAGCTGTCATCATCATCAGCTTAGCGGCAGCAGTGCTGCTCCTGCTGCTGCTTCTGCTTGCTGTTGCTGCCGCTGCTGCTGCTGCTGTGCATGGATGCCCACTTGCTTTCTTCGCTTTCGCTTCTAGCATAGGGCAACAGGCTCTAAAAACTGGGCCCTCCCACGACGTGCGTACTTGGCCGCCCGTGGCTTACAGCGCTGTGTATCGGGGTTGGCAGCAATGTTGTAAAACAAGCCGCCGCCCCCCGTGTTCAAATTCAGGACCGGGAACATAGGCCTTCGAGAACCTCGACGAAGACACAGGACGGTAGACGACGAGGACGACAAGTTCAAATAAATGTGATTGCGGCTTCGAGTGCGAAGACCGTTATCATTGTTATCATGTAGGAAAGTTGGAACACTTGGAAATTACCTGAAAATTTGGAAGCAATAAAACCGTTGTGTACAGCAATACACGAATAATGCGGCCCTTCCAAAACAACCAGAGCTGCAGCATCAGCCAGTGATGGTCAAAAACACAATTAAGGGCTGTTTGTTATTACAGGCACCCCGGAACAGAATGTTGGGTTGAATGGTGGGTTGTGTTGTTATCCAAACAAAACACGGCCGGCCATGCATCCACACGTGACAACAAAATATAGATCATCTTCGGGAAATAGAATGCAAAGACTGGACTATCTACATAATTCGCAAATATATGAAGTCGGGCAGTCCCATCGAACAAACCTGCTCAAGCGTTCCTTGATTGTAGACAGACATCCTTTGGCATGCATGTGTGACTGAAGTCACAGGGCAAGTATTGGCCTCCGCCCCCAATTGTGGGAGGGGGGGCAGAATGTAAAGGATGGATGGATGTGGACATACACGAAAGAAGGTTGATTGATTGAGGTGGCCATTAGATGAACGGGTGTTACGAGCTCGGTTCATGAGAGGGCGGCGAAAGATGTGGTGTGGGGTTCACCCACTACACCAAACCGCACATGAAAAGAGTCTCTCTTCCTTACTCTTTTTGGTTGCGCCCTCTGACGAAAAGAATGTCATGCACGGTGTTGTTGGATCACTCTCAGGGTGGAGCAGTTCTCGCGGATACAGCTGCAACATCAATCTCCGCTGAATTCTGAGGCAACGTTTTGCAGCGGTTTCTTCCCTCAGGTGTGCTACCACGGCAGAAACAAACTATGAAGGTGCCCGTATTCTGTCCAGTGAACACCATAATGTTCCCTAGCTCGCGACGGGTGTAGCTCGGACCCGCCGCACGTGTTCGCCAAAATATGCAGTTCAAGCACGGTGCCTCCTCAAGCGCGCTCTCTATAGTGCATCGCATGTGCCATCGTCTGTAAACGAGCATGTCACGGGCTGTGGAGACGCTCCCCCCACCCCCGACACAATAACCGCGCCGGCGAGACTGCGACCCTTCCGAGAACGTCCCGAGGCGATCTGTCCTGTCGTCGCGAGTGTTCAAGACACAACAGTAATCATACTTTAACCGCCCCCTTCTACAGCAGCAATCAACTGTACGTATAACTAACTTCCTTGTCATACGGATCACTGTATCTACCCGATCTTCGAGAATAATCCACCTACATTAGAGCAAAAACAACCAAGTAAAAGCTTATACTAACATCGACCACCTGCGAGGAAGGGCAACAGGAATTGAGTCGTGAGTCGCTGAAGACACATCCATCCGCCGATACTCGCGCCGCTTCAGGCATCTACCTAGGCAAACACGGCACGGCCTCCTCTAACGATGAATGCACTGTACGCAATCTACAGACGAGACGTGGGGGGAAGCAGCCTCTTCGGATACATAGAGCTTCGCGCACCATACTTGACAAGCACACAATATCTCCGGTACGAAGTTGCTGTTGCTGACTGACGCTGACGTCACGACACGACACGCTCTGCTCCACCCTCTGCGCACAGATCCATCGGCCAGCGACATATCCCCCCCGTGGCCGCGGGCGGGAACCAGTTCGAGGCGCTCGGGAACCCAACACACAGTTCCGACCATTATACTATTGCTACAAGTATGTCGATACTGGAATAAAATCAATACCAAACAAGAACTGAGAGAGGAGAGCAATTCGCTCGGGGGAGAACAAGAGATGCACACACCACCACCGCACACCTCTCTGTAGTAATCTAGGACTAGAGCGCGGGTGTCTTTAAGTTGATCCGAGGCCGAATGACGGGCCTCTCCAGGGGCTTGAGTATTGTATCGCCTCCTTTCGGAGAAGGCCTGGGGCAGGGTGTTGCAGAGGAGTGTTCCGGTAGGGGGGGGGGGGGGGGGTGACGGACGTAAGTGTGTGGGTACTCGTCACTAGGGCAGAACGCGACCAACGACACGAGCAAGGATTAAAAAGGATAATGGAGCGCAACGAAAGCAGTGGAGAGCGGGAAGACGTGGGGGGCGCCAGGGGAAGCCTTCAGGTAGCGGGCACGGAGCGTTGCATATTGGTTCGAGCGTGTCTGTAGACGGTAGATGCAAGTTTAATTCCCTACACTTCCCAGACTACGCCCCTGCCCTGCCAGGCGGATTCGGCTACGCCCACGAGACGTTGCATTCGAGAGGGGGTGAGGCAGTGATACGCGGGAAGCGCTCGCTAGGCAGAGGGCGCGATACTAGCGGATGGACCCCACTCGTGGTCACCCGGTACCAACCGTACTCAGCCCCGGTACGGTTTTCTGTAGAACGACAAAGTCCCGAAATACCATGAACCCCTTACAGCTGAAAGCGCCCTACTTTGGGATAAACGCGATAGGTGCGGGGCGACACTTGCCCTACATACCCACCCACTGTAATCCCTCCTACTGTTTTCCCTTGCGTTTCTTCACGTGCGTACGCTGGCTTGCTACAGTACCAGCAAAATTGTCCTCTTCCTCATCCAATGACCCAGACCCAACAAATGTTCGCTAATTTTACGGTCGAACGAAGTCCTTTCCCGTCCTATCACATGCATGGAACTTATATGTAGGCATCCTCTCCCGACAAAACTACACACACAGCCCTCCCATGAACACGCCCCATTTGACCGATCATTTGTAGCTCAACGGGTGCGCGGCATGCCAATCAACGGAGGGGCGTTCGCGGCTTGACCAACGGAAATCGCGTGTATATCTGGAACAACCGGAGGTTTCCTCACCCAGCGACAGCAAACATTAAATGAGACACCACCGTTTCTAGAGAACGCGTTGTTGATTGAAACGAAGAAGTGGACACACGACATACAGATTGAGCAGGAAGTGGATGCTTACGAGCGAACGAGCTATTACGACAATTTCGACCACAGCGGTAGCGCCGACAGAAATCACAACCAAGCGCAACGGACTCACGAGGCCGTCAGGCTTCCCAGCGACTTGAATGACGCCATCTTCGTCAGCGATGAAATCGGAGATGGCGGAGCCCCTTTAAATGATGTGCTGTTGTCATCCCTATGGCATGCACAAAGGGGGGCAAACGGATGGGGGGAGGCATCACGCTTGGCTCTTCGGGAATCGCGCGGTCGTCAAGGCGAAAAAGTTGTACTCGACGATTCCTCTACGATCGTTGAGGGGGGATTGCTACCATTTCGTAACCTGATTCACATTCTTCGAGACAAGGGGTCCACACAAACGTTTCACCCTCTACAGGTATGTCGCAAAAGCCTTCAAGATCTGCACTCGACATGCCTTCGTGTGTTTCAAAAGCAGTACTGGTCGAAACTTTGAATATGATCCCATCGCGATGAACTGTGTCCTACTAATGCTTGGTGGCCCCCAACAGGCAACGCACTTGGTCGGAGTCACTCCGTTTCACTCTTTTCCGGTTATCGAAACTATCCGCCCCTCCGAGAGAGATCGAGCACCGTGGCCGCGGCACGGCGCCAGCACTTCACGAATGGATTGTCCCTTTCGTCTGAGGAAAAAAAGCTAGCATGTCATTGGGCTCGAACATAGTTCCCCCTCAACCAAGCATTCGTCCTGGTTAGGCGTTGAACAATGAACTCATTTACCGCCGAGAATCTCGTCTACGTGATCCCGGCCGGATCGGAGCTCGTCTGGTGGGGGGGTGATGAAACCCCAGGCCTAAACTGCGAGTGGAGGGGTGACGTAGGGAATGGCCAAACGTCACCTTGGCGACACCGCAGCCGACGGCGCACTCGGTGTGCCGGAGACGTTAGAGCCGAGACGGAGAAGCTTTCCCATGGCTAACGCCGCCTTGCCGGTGTTTTTCAAAGCCCTCAGGTGGGGCGATGTCGCGGACGCCGACGCGGAGAGCGAGCCCTCGCCCGTCAGCTGCATCACCTGGCGATTGGAGGGGATCAAACGGGCGTTTGCATGAGGAGGAGAGAGAGGCGAATGTAACGCTCTGTCAACAAACGTGTTCGTGCGTGGCGGGGGGGGGGGGGGGGATGAGTTGTGCTTCTGTAGCCTTCTTCAGGGCCTGGCTTTGAATGAAAACAGGTCGTGCGGACCGTCTGCCGAAAAGAAAACTCCTGGTTGACGGCGGCATGCACGAGCGGTCCGACGCAGTCAAGCTGGCTGTACATATCTCGGCAAGAAGTGGCCCGTCGCAACGAGAGTTTGATCCGGTACCATCAGGTGAGGCAGTCTCGTGTAGGTGCCTGAAACACTCTATGCCCACCTGCAACCTCTTCCGCAAACGATACATCGTCAAACTCATGGCTTCTCCCGTACCGTCTACAGTATTTTGTGGGATCATTTCGATCTTGCTCTTTCGAGCATCGTTGATGTCTCTCTTCTTCGATTGGTTGGGATCTCTTCGATCAGGCCACCGCTTCCGCACTGAGGCTAGACTATACACATAGAACCAATGCATGGATCATGTGCTCAACCGGAAAATAGCCATGGTGTCGTTTTCGGTGAGCAACGATGGTCACACCCTCATCAACTCAGTTGTTCCAACCGCAGTAACGATATTGGCGTATTTTCTATGCAAGAGCTACTGGAAACGCACCGGTTCCCATAAACAGATGTAGACTAGACTATTTCTCCTATTTTTCTCGCTTAGACGATACGTCGAAACAGGTCTATGTAGATGTCAAGCAATTTGGGGGCAGTTCGTTACTACGCCATCTCCTTGGGTAGGCAACGTCTTTGTCATGCCTACACGGACGTGCGGCATTGCAAGACCCTTCGTTGACAACGCTGCAGTTTCACCTTGAAATTTGCTTCGATGTCGTCCATAGCCTGAGCAAGACCCATCTCGATTCTCAGGGTCTGTGGGCTGATATACCGCCAGGTTGCGAACCACTTTTGATCGTCGGGCGAGACCTGGGGAACAACGGGGTCAAGAATGGCGAGGGAGCGGGGAGATGCAGGTCTTCATCACCAGTCAGAGGGGAAAAGGTGAACGGTCAACCAGTGGGCGAAGATTCAACTCAGTTTCCATAGCCTGTAATTAAGCCTTGTTTTTCCGCTGGTGTACTGGAGGCGCAATTGACGCTACCGATTTGCTGCAGTGTTCCGGCTCTGAGCCCCAACACCCACGAACCGACCCTGTACCCTTCACTCTAGCCTGAACGCTAACCTCAAGCTATAGTTCGTTGGGAAGATGCTACCGTAGGTAGCTGCTTCCTGCATCCTGCTTGTGCAACCACTTACGAGTCGATTTGTTGAGAACCGCTTGATATGTAGCTAACCCGTCCGGCGTTCTACTGTGTAAGTGGGAGCTTGTGGTACAAAGAATTCTCGACATCCACTGATACTGTGGGGAAGCTGGTGGATATATGATATACGTGATCAGCCCTCGACGACAAATAACCGGTAGCGCACTTCACCGTGTAGTCTGTGCGACGACCATGCGTACTACGGAGCCAGTGTTCTCGTCGAGGGTTCACATGGAGGTTGAATCAGCTGTAATGCTGGTACGAAGCCTTTTGATGGCGTCGAGTTCGTGTTCTGTTGCACTGTCGCGACATGTATGCTAATGGAAGGAATGCCGATCGTGACGCACGTGATAGCAACAACGAACACGACCTTCGACCGCGTGTACACAAAACTGAATATATCGGCGATGGCAAGATCAACCAAATCGGGACATGTCCGTGACACGGACAACACCAGACGCGAGTCCATACGTCGAGTTTTCTCCATTTCCTCCGGAGCTATGTAGCTGCGCGTGAACGATGCTGCACTAGTGGGAACGATCTCGAGGGTTCTTCGGGCCTTTGACATGTACGTTCTGCTAAACGCAGAGCCTTCCCCTCTTACTACGTCTCTTGCACTCTTCCGAGTGCCGAACCACGGACTTTCGTTTGATCCCACCTCTTGTCTCCTGGGCGTCGTGCTACGCTTGCGGCTTGCATCTTCACTTGGGGGTACGGCATCACTCCAGATTCATCTTCTCTCGGCGTGAGAAATTGAGTATTATTGGTTGGTCCAGCCGAACGCACTGACCGATGCCCGTGAATTACTGGTGGTCAAATCTACTACTTACAAGTATTTTTTTCTACGTAGTCAGCGGATGGTTCGTTTGGTCTCCCTCTACAATCGCCATACCTTCTCGTTGAGGTTTCGCTTCTTCTTGTTATATCTGGCGTCGGCCTCATGCATCCCCTCCATCATTTCTTCGAAGCTGTCATATAACGGCTCGTCGCAAACGGGTCCTTGCTAAGGTTCGTTTCGCGTTTCGTTTGGGCCGATGAATAGTGGAGGACGGGCGGAGGTGCACATGCTGGTCAGGCGGAATGCAAATTCTTCCATTTCAACCCGGTTGATGGTGGTTTTGGAGATATTGTCTACAGGGTAACGGTACTAGATATATCATGGTGGATTTTGATTTGCTCGAACAATGGCGGCGGGGGGATAATCGTGGACATGTAGAGCGGAAGGAGCTCTGATTGGATCCGCCCGTAGCTTTGTGAGAGGGAGAGGGCCGTATAAAACTCTCGACGTGTTCCCGAAGGTGTGAAAGTGCCTAGGCAGGCCACTTGTGCACGTATCTCCCGGGCTGTTTGCTTGCAACGGATCTTCGTCATGAGTTGGGCCTCTTGCCGTGGTCGTTTTCTGTACTTGCCCAGGGCAAATACACTTTGTGTTCCTGCTCTATTTGCTGTTACTATAGCAGTGACGGATGGGCGAAGGTAGACTTCTACCACCCGGGCAGGACGAACGGCGCCGCTGTCAGCGCGAGAGGCGAGCCGGGCAGGTCGTACAAGGATGGACACAGGAAAGTGTAGGCAGGTCTAATGAAGGGGGGGTGAACCCAACGGTGACGGGTACACTGTTCGAGCTGACGCTACGTATCAACCTTCAAGTCCCGTGTAGCGCATGGGTGTGTACCCTGCAAGGGTCCAAGAGATCAGCTTGTACTCCATGGCGGAGGAAAACCGCGCTTTGCCACGCCGTAAACAGCAGGTGCGAAGCTTACGACCCTAACCTCACCAGGCCCTCGCTGGGATACACGATGGATAAAGAATACTTGTACTTAGCAAGTTAGCGCGAATATGACTCGTTCACGGTACACGACGAAGAAAATAGGGGGGTTCACGACAGGCATACCAATCGCAAATGCGCTTACCGTTGGGATGTAGGGAGGCTCTACGTTCTTGGCCGCCAGACGCTCCCAGACTATACCTTGAAGGGGTGTCAAGAAGTGGAACAACAGAGGAGTTGGAAAGGGTAGATATGTATCGTGTATCACCAAGCAGGCCGTAGCGGGGTCTCCGATCTACCCTGCCGCCTCGACAAAAAAACGTCTTCCCCCAGCCCGGCCGGATTCGGGACATGATCGACAAAAAAAACGCTTTGACACGAACTACTATTTCATTCGCCAGGCGATCCGCGGCACGCCAAACCCAAATCGGAAAGGAGCGGGAGCTTATGATATATGCGGCTGCACTTCCATCGATGCACTGCCTTCCTTCGATCACACCGCTAGGCTCGCATATCAGATAGATAGCCAAGAGGCGTTCTAGTGGAACATTTGTATACCACAGCGAGTATCCTCCCGGTCGAGACGAAAATTCGACTTGTCGCTGTCTAAAGCACTGCGGGATATATCCATTTGTGGGAGTCCGGCCCTACTGTATGTTTAGTGCACAGCAGCAGCGAGACACTTCGAGGGAATCGTAATTTTTAGTGCATTGAGCTTACAGAGTCCGACCACCTCCGAAAGGCTAGTAACGAACCTCGCGCACAGACCACAACATCAAAATCATCAGGGGACGGTTGTTTGAGAGTGATGATCCGCCCGGCAAAACACCGAGGGATTTCCTTGGGCTTACCCGCCATGAAGGCGTGAGACTTAATACCCTCCTTGCCGTTGGGTCCAGATCCCAGTCGCTCGTGAACGTCGTGTCGCAAAAGCGCGGACACGAAGGACACTGCAGCCTCAGACATGTAACGGGGGTACTCCACCTGGGGAGTGATGTCGCGTGCGCACGGGGGAGAAGGGGCGGTTGCCTTCGAAATTATATTGAGCTACCATAACCGCCTACCGGAATCATCGCTCGCTCGGAGGGGATTACCTGGAAAAAATCGACAACGCTTTCCCTGGGGTACACAGTGCTTGGAGGAGGACGTTGAAAAAGGTTTCCACGTGACCAGAGAGTGGGGACTGAAAGGTAGGAGATTGTCTTCGCCTGCACCGCATCTCCCAAAACTTGAAGTTTACGAGCGGTCGAGAACAGCCTTGCTTGGGTTTTCCCGGGGGTGTTGATCATCTCTGAAATTGACTCTCCTGACATTCCGCACAATTTGCTACAGTAGACCTCGAATACCTTCTCCGTATGAAAGAGAAACCCGTCGCACCGTTTTATCAAGAATTAGTGCTGTTTTCTTCGAAAGAATCCTGCTTACCCTCGAAAGGATATCACATTTGATTTGCCAGACCTCCAATCCGTTCTCCGTTTGCAAGAGAAACCCATCGCCCCGCTCTCAAGAACCAGTTGCGGTATTCTTCGAAAAAACTCGCTCACCTCGGCTTGCAGCTTCTCGAACTCCGTCTGTCTCCGAAGCATCGCGACGACGGACTGCTTGCGCGCCCAAGGGGGGGGATCGAAAGGCCGCGCCCCCGTGAGCATCTTGTAGACGGTGACCCCTAGTGACCACCAGTCCACCGCCTCGTCGTACCCCTGACGCTGATCGTTGCTCTGACGGTAGCAAACCATCATAGGGGGGAGGGAATCGGGAGGACGTGTGAAATAGCCCTGGGAACTTCGTCCTGTGGCATCCCGACGACAGCAGTGCGCCAAGCATTCACCAAAACGTGTATAGCCGGCCGACCCGAACAGGTGGGACGAAATTAATTGTGCACGTGGATGAAACCTTTGACGGAATGGGTTGTTCCTTCGATCGTGGAGGAGGTTGCAACACCTGACCTACCTAAGATCACCCCTCCAAGTGCTTCCGCCGTGGCGGCTAGATCCACGACCCTTGGCAGATCGGTCCTCCAAAGGCTTAGTCAACAAGACTACTCCTCGACGGCTCTGTTGCACACTGGATCTCTTCTCACCCACGCTCGCGTGGACTTCACTCACCTGGTTAAGAAGCTTGGCCATCTCTGGGGCCATGTATCCCTTGGTGCCCATGATGCTCCTCCTCTTGAAGTTCATCAGGGTTCCCCGTCGCTTTACCGTCGTCCCGTGCTTTCGAATCTGCGTCGCCAACAATCATTGAACATGTCCTGTAAAATCGATCTCCTCTCTTTCTCTCTCTCTCTCTCTCTCTCTCTCTCTCTCTCTCTCTCTCTCTCTCTCTCTCTCTCTCTCTCTCTCTCTCTCTCTCTCTCTCTTTCGTGGTCTTCGTGTTTCTTGCACCACGGGTGGCGCCACGAGTAAATATCAACAGCCATTCCACCACATTCGGCTCACAAACGAGAATTGACGTCGACATCACGACCGACACTGATACTTTCAATACCTCCGGGGGGGCTGCACACTTGTACGCTCTACCATTGTGCTCATGTAGACTACATACCACGTCTTCGGCGCCACGCGAACCCCCCCGAGCCCCTGAGTGTTATGCCTGTATCAATAATCGCAACGCACCCTGGCATTTTCCACCAAAATTCCAAGCAGCCAATGTGACCTTCTTGATGCTGTCTTTCGCGTGTCCAGCGCGACCAACCCAAGTTCTAGAGGAGAATGCCCTACACGTGATCTTGCGACTCGGGGGGGGGGGGGGTCATCGAGCAGGACGGGCTAGCTTTTGGCACGCCTCGACAGAGACGGGAAAGGACTTTAATGTCGGAGATAATCGTGCGCCTTCCTGGTGCCCGAGCTTCCGAGTAGCGACAAGGTCAACAGAAATCGACAAAATCCCGACGACGACGACGACGACGACGACAACAACAACCACAACTCACCTTTCTTGCCGACATATCCCCGATGCAATCCCCAACCCCGCCCATATCCGCCAGCTGGATGTGCCCGTCCATCCCCAACATCACATTCCGGGGCTTCAAGTCTCTGGTCGAGGGGGGGAAGAAGGCAGAGCACGAAGGGCATTCATTACGGGGGCAGGGTTGAAGAACGCATGCATTCCCCTGTCGAAGAAGGGAGGGCTTAAGATTGGGCGGGACATTCTACCGTGGCGCAAGAAAAGGTGCAAGCCATGCCGCCCGGCAGCTAGACATGAGTACTTGTCGTTTTCGTTTTCGTTTTGGCCGTGCGAACAACTCTCGCCGAAACCCTGCAGCTTTCTCGGCTCCAAGCGCTGCACGCTCTCGATTCCACCCAGGCCTCTTCATGACCGGCCGCCAGCCGCGACGGAATGAACACACCTCTACTGTACATGGTGCCTTCTTTCAGGACCTGGTGTTGGCCCCGGGTTATGGTGTACACTTTTACCGAGCTTTTCACCCCTCCCAGAAGAAACCAATGGCTGACTCGAGGTCAAAGGTCGAGTAGATCGTCTTCGAGCGTCGCTGACAGGCATTCCAACGGCCACCTCACGGGAGAGTAGATTGCGTCCTCGTCCGCACGTAAGATCTGACAACACTGCTTGCCGCGCTTGAAGTTCCTGCAAAAAACCGCACTTATTTGGCCGGTCACCTTGTGCGAGAGATACCCTCAGGTTCTCTGAGTCGTACCAGGTGGCCGAAATATGGCCTGCCAAATCACTTGCACTGTGCGGCCATTTTTCCGGGAACCACCCTCTGTCACTGCTTTTGGTGAGGAGAAAAATTACTTGCCTGTACATGAGACCCATGTCGTGCAGATGTATCAGGGCTATTACAATCTCCGCGGCATAGAACCTCGCCCGGGGTTCGTCCAAACGTTTCTTCGGGGAGGAATCGATCGCATCCTGCAAAACCAAGCATGCGCCGCCTTTGTCCGTGTTGAAGTGTTCATTGCGATATTTTGTCCATGTCCTGCTCGTTTCGTTTCTTCTCTCTCTGGAGGAAATATCCTCTCTCCGAGACAAGCGTAGGCTATAGCTCGGGGCCCAACGGTGGGCTGTCTCCGTGAACTGTTTCACGACTAGGCAACCGTGGTCTCCTGCTGACCATACGCCTGCTTTCCGCAGGGCTCAGAGGTTGCGACTAACGTCAAAGGGAGGATCGTCCCGATGCAACTGAACTCTTTTGACATCCGGCCCCTTTGTCTCATGACCAAACTGCATTCATTCCTAGATTTCTTACATGCATCTCTCCTAATATTGTGAAAAACTCTTGAAAATTCTCAGATCGGTACATTCTTCCGGTGAAAGTACTCTCTCTCTTTTGCACCGTAGCCGCTAAAGCGAAATCGATTTCGACAACGACAAACCGTGCTGCCGTGGGCCGTGATTGCCTGCCTGCCTGCGTACCAACCCCTACCCCTAACCGTAGCCCTGACCTGGAGGTTTCCCGTGGTGACGAGGTTGAGCACGATAATTGCGTGCAGCTCGGTCTGGAAGGCGTAGTCCATCTGAAGCACGAACGGGTGGTTGCACGCCTGGAAGACCATCTGTAAGTTGTATATTTTTCGAATAGAAGATCGTACGAACAGAAACATGCATGATATAAGGCGGATGGCTATTTTTTGCGCCAATCGCGCTCTCTTGTACTTGACCGGCGTGGCGCATCGGCTGTTTGTGTTCTCGGTGAAAAATGAGTCTGTGGCGTTCGAAAGCCCAATAGCCTCAGTATCGTGTGCATGCACGCGTGGGTTTTGCCCTCTCTCGTGTCTCCCTCTCGCACTAGTTCTTCTCTCGATGTGTGCACTATCTTAGGCAAGGCAAGACAATCATCTTGTCGCTCAAGGCGTTATCGGGCCTGACTTCGAAAGGATCAGACCTCTTCCCTGTTACGCGGCATGTTAAACGGTTCCCCACGAAACAGCCACTCGGACCTTCTCGTTGTCGAGGCGCGACAGACTTCGCGCGAAGCTTCTCAGCAGCTCCGTCTTGTGCTGGATCTTCATGGCGTAATGTCTCCCGGTGCTCTTCTTCACGACGTGCACCTGCCAAGAAAGGACCGACGTTCGTTAGATTCCGAGGATACAACGGACTCGTGACGTAACATGCCAGCGGAGTGAGGAACGCCGCACTTGCATGATGGGGGCGAACCTAACGGCGGGATCGCGTGGAAACTGTGAAGGCGCGGGGCGTAGAACCCGATTTGTCAGCGATGGCGGTGGTTGGCTCGTTGCTCCCGAGGAGTCCCTCCGCATTTCAACACGACTGATGCTTCATGAACAAGAGAGGCACAAGGGTGCTAACGTCCAGTTTCCCGCTTTAACGAACGAACTCGAGCACGAACACGAACACGCGGTTCTTGTCGCCTTTCGGCACTCACCCTCCGCTACGTGTCACAACACGCAGAGAAGCCCCAACCGTCAGGACAATGACGACGACACGACAACAGAACAACAGCAGCAGACACAGGTACATAACACAACATAGCGACGATGACCCCAACCACAACAGCAACAACAACAACAACAACGATTCGAACAGGGAATCTCCGGAGAGTATGCCATGGAATCATGTCATTGGGCGTTTCAGAACACGTTTAGGCTCATTCATTCACAACGGCTTGCTTCGGGGCGCAAGCGCTTGAAACAAGAGTGCCTGAGAGGCGTGGAATGTTTCGTTGCAGACCGAGGTTCAATAAACCGTTACAGACTAAAAGCATGCAAAGGTGGAGGCTACGTTGAGATAGGCATGGGTGGCGGGGGTCATTGCGATACTGAACACCAGAGGAGTGTGTGGAGGCTGGGGAATTGGAAATACTACTCTAAACTCACTACAAGCAATCCTGGACTTTTTCAATAGCAATAATGAGTTTGTGTTGTTTCTGTGAGACAAAACAGCCCTTGGTCGTGAGGTGGGTTCTATAGAAAGTTGACCGTCGAGGACGGGTCCGAAGACCGATGCAAACGTGCTTCCAGCATATGCCAACGCCCACTATGTTGTGCCGCAGGATAATTGTCTTGCTCCCAAACATCAAACGCAGATGAACAGAGCGCACCGCGGTTTTCGCAGCAGGCGCGATAGAATGTAAACGCGTGTTTTGTCTCCTCTTGTCGCGAGTTTACGTTCGTTGAAACAAGCGTAATCGTACATGTACAAGATCCTGTGATACATTCCCCGTATGTATACCCTCATGCACGGCCTTCAATACGGACAGGCTCGATTCCTGTAAGCCATGTTTCCGCAAAGAAAGCACTTTGATCATCACAAGGCAAGAAAAATAGCCAGCAGTCAATATGTATTGCTCAGTTGGAAAACATCGACGATGTGTGGGGAGGAGGAGTGGATCTAACGTATTCCCGACAGGTGAGGCTCTCATCCGTCCCTCGACATGGATGGGCGCCCAGCCAAGGACTCACCACTTTCCCGAAGGCGCCCTCCCCCAGCTTCTCCATGTACCAGAAATCGTTCACCCCTATCCTGTTAAACCGTGACGCTCCTTCCTCCTGATAGGCCTCGTACCTGAGGGGAGGGAGTTCGGAGAGACACGACGCAGGTGTGAGCGTCGCGCGTTTAGTTGATTCCATGTACGTAGCTCGTCGGCTGCACCCCATCGTCGTCGTGAGAGAACTGTCTGGCGACATCCTATTGGTGGGCCTAACGTTAGATTGATGGCGTGGCATTTCACGTCGTTCGGGCGAGAGGGGGGAGGAGTATCGCCCCCCTCGAAGCACGAAAACGGATGGATGTGACTAATGAACCATGTCGTTACCCTCCATTGATGATGAGAAACGGAACATGAAACAAAGGGTACCCGTCGCGGCCGACTTCGTCCCGTTGGGCACACGAGGCGTATTGTTGGAGGTGAGAAATATCCGATTTGTTGTCAGTCTTTTAGAAGGTCCTCGTTAGAAGATCCATCCGTGGCCCTCGGTCCCACCATCCACGGCTGCCACCGATTGGGTGTCGAACTTAGAGGCACGTTCAACCGTGTTATTAAATGTACCAGAACTGAAGGATCGTTGAAGAAATCCTAACAGCCTCGGAGACGTCTGGATCGAAACCACACACGTGATTGTCGAAGGAACTGCCGGTCTACGAAGCGCAATAGGAACCCATCTCGTTGTCCGTTGTATTCCACGCTTGCGCGTACAGCACCGCCTGGCGGGGCGTTGTTTTCTCTGCTTTTACAAGCCACAATCCATGCATTTTATTAAGAAAAAAACGCTCGGCGGAAAAACGAAATACTCTTAAATATCATGGAGAAAAAAAACCTCCGATGATGATACCAACACCTCTCTCTGTGTCGTCTCGTTTGTCGGCAACTCACCGCCTGGCGTAGTTATTCTTGAGTTCCTGAAAGGTGAACTCGAAGATATGGCGGAAGCAGACCTTCTGCACTTGCAGAAATAGGTCGGGTCCGAGCAAGTTTTTGTCCTCCCGGGCCTGGTTGGTCGGTCGGGTTGATTCACAAATTCGGAATATCCGCTCACGGATATGTTCGTACAGTAGCAGTACCGTTTCGGCCCGCTGATATGAGATGTCTTCGTCACAAGCAGTGGAGCCTCGAATGACTCTTCAAGACTTGCAATACAACCGCTGGAAGACTAATACCCGTTCGACGACATTGTAGAGCACAAACCAATATGACGTGTCGCAAGAAACTGGGCTCAGCCGCCTGCACTGCACTGTAGATCCCAAATGTCGGCCTAGCGATGGCCTGCGCTCACTCGTTGAGACACGCTGGAAGGTTCTACGTATTTTTGCTCAAGACAGCAAGTGTTCTTGCCAGCGGTCCGGCAGGGTATTGAGAGCTCGAGAACGAGGAGCTTTATACGTTGCACAAAACACACAACAATAACGATATTTCGGAATCGTTCATTAACTGCGGTATTGACGTGGTAGTATTGGCGGTTTTCGGTGGAGAACAAGTTGTTGGGCGTTCAAGTTGCTGAAGAATGCAAGAACGCATGACCTGCCGCCCTATGCCTGTGGCACACAACAAGAAAACCATAAAGAAAGTCTACCTTGGGATCGGCTCCGACAACAGCAGCAGCCAGCACACCCTGTTCTTCCCTGCCCCTTATGACGTATTGTCCGGAAATAGCTCGGTTGAATCGATTTGCCAGAACACGAAAGAAACAGTTTTATTCTAAACGGCAGTACTCTTCACGAGGCTTGTTACTTTGCGATGAAGCAATAGCCACCATCGCCAACGTAACAACAAGTAAACGACGTTTTACACATTCGTGGCCGATTCTAAGACGCGGATAACCAGTTATTTCCAAACCCAACAGTTCCAAACAGAAGGAACACTCCGGTGCATCCGATACATGAGAATCGCTATCTCTATGGTTTCACGTGGAGGCTATTTTCCATGCCAGGCGAGATCCGCGCTTCATGCCCCCCCCCCCCCCCCAA